GCCCCCACCACGGCATTTCCTTCCCGTGGACTTCATCCTTCTAAAGCTCCATGGGCATCCAGTTCCTCTTACTTCGCTGCTGGCCTGGAACACAGCTTAGAAATGGCCTCCTGCCTGACCCCGCATGCAATCACCAGTAATAGCACCTTGGCATTCAGGGCAGCCTGGGGGTGGTGAGGAGCCGCGGGCAAGGGCCAGACTGCCACAGCCTCCTCCCCGGCTTGGAAGCACTGAGGATGCCCAGCTTCAGGTGGGCGTTCCTGGAGAGGCAGAGGGGCATCTTCCAGGGACCGCCTCCCGAGGGCAGGGCCCCGGGGCCAGCTGGCCTGCCTCGTTCCCAGCAGGCCACCCCTGACATCTGTACTTGCCCCACCTGCCCCCCCAAATGGTCCCCCCCCAACTTGGATGATGGCAACTCCATCCTTCCAGCTGCTCAGGCCACAGCCTTGGCGTCATCCCTGCCTCCTCTCCGTGTCTCACACCTCACTTCCCACCCATCAGGATTTCCTGTTGGCTCTGTCTTCAAAATGCATCAGAAGTTCAGCTATGTCTCACCACTTTCACTGCCACCATGGTGGCCAGGCCACCGCCACCTCTCCCCTGGATGACTGCCACGGCCTTCCAAGGCTTCTCCCTGCTTCCACTCGGGCTCCCTCCCCCCACCCACAGGGTGATCTTTTTATAACGTGAGTCAGGTCAGAGCCTCCAAGGTCTCCCCGTTTCACTCTGAATAAAAGCCCGTCTTCCAAAGGCGCCCTTCCTGCCCGCGCAGCCGGTCTCATCTCCCGCACCCCCTTCCCCACTGACTCTGCTCCAGTTGCTCTGGCCTCCCTGTAGCTCCTCTTTTTTTTTAAAAAAATATTTTTATTGATTTCAGAGAGGAAGGGAGAAGGAGAGATAGAAACATCAGTGATGAGAGAGAACCATTGATTGGCTGCCTCCTGCCCGCCCCACACTGGGGATTGAGCCCGCAACCCAGGCATGTGCCCTGACCGGGAATTGAACCGTGACCTCCTGGTCCAACCACTGAGCCATGCCGGCCGGGCATCCCCGTAGCTCAAGTGAGCCAGGCACACACTGACCATAGGACCTTGGCACTGCCATTCCAACCTGTGCTTGGAATGTTCTGCAGACAACTTCCTTCAAATCTGCCCCAATGTCCCCTCAGTGGGCCCACTCCCGGCAGC